TTTCTTTTTGTCAAATCCCTATAATATTTCTCCTTAGTTTGCTCTCTTTAGATGTAAGGAACAATATGCTAAAGAATAAACAAGACATATTGACCCATGTATTAATAGAACCATGAGGTAGATAAAATAATAAATATTTTGTCGAATCGGCTAAGGAAAAAGGAAAAAGGAAAAGCATAGAGTTTAATTTGATCTTTAGAAACTTCATGTGGTTTCATACTCAGACAGACTCGTATTTAATTGTGAAACGTGCAAATATTGAAAGGCCGATATGTGGGTTATCATTTTTCAAATCGTGAAAGGTCGGTAAAAGATGAATAAACCCGTCTTTAATACAAATGATGTTTCGCTATTCAGGAATGTGATGCAAAGTGGTTGTAGTTCATCAACTGTTGTACAAGCTATCGAATCGTTTGGATAAGCCATATGTATTGATTCTTCTTGATCTAATATGAATAAAGCTTCGGTGTAAGAGTTTTCTTTTGAGTTTGGATCGAGTTTCGGTTGTTGTTGTTGTTGTCTCATTTACCAAAGAGTTTCACTACGTAATCTCTGAGCAAGTGCTTCGATTTCAAGTTCGTAATTAATTAATTCTTCTGGATGTGACCTGATCATACATCAAAACAAGAAACAATATTAGTAACTTTGCCGAAATCCCGGTAACGACGCTAATTTGACAAGCATCGAAATTGTCAAATAAATAAATACTCTAATCTCAAATAAATAATAAAGGTAGTATAGAGAAAAGTAGAGGTCGATCCATAGGGACTAAGGAAGTCTGAATAATTTACTTATTTTGATCCTTTAATTATAAAATAAAATTGGGGGTTTAAAAATAATGAAAGTAATAAAATAATAAAAATAAATGGAAAATGGAAAATAATGAAAAATAATTAAAGTAAACAAAGTAGAAGAATTCAATCGAGATGATACATCCTTAGGTTTTGCATAGCCTGAATTTTGATCGATCATCGAAATATAATTTTCCCTTCATGTTGTACGCCGATTACGGTTAACAGAGTCCAACCCTTGCAACTAACTCTTATCTACGGTTAACCGAAATTTCTCAGTCTATCTTCAAAATATGGTCCTTGTTGGTCTAACCATATTTATCGCCGTTAGATCCAAAATAGCTTTAAGTTTTAGAAAGGCCCGACTGAAGTTATAGCGTCTCACTGATAACAAACTCGATCTTAATTCTCCTTAACGGACCACCGCTAAGTTTGTTCATAGGAAGCCGAATTACAACCAACCGATCCGACTTCCAAACTTCAAGCAAAAGCATTCTTCAAATCAACGTGTACCTTTTGAATTGAAGATGTAATAACTTTTAAGTGAATGATCGATCGTCACTCCTAGTTCTAGATAATAGAAGAATACAATATGAAGGTAGGAAGAACAAGACTCAATTTTCAAGATTAGAATGGAGCCTCGCAAAACCTTTGGCTAGATGGAAGTTTGGCTAAGCATAGAGTGGATCATACTTAGCATTGTAGAAAGAAAATAATGAAAGAAAAGTGGAGATGAAAGAAAAGTAGAACTTCAATAATTAACCAAACAAAAATAAATTCTAGTATATCTTTCAATTGTTCAACCTAAGAGGTATTTATATCCCGAGAGTTCTAAGTAAATAAAATAACTAATCTCTAAATAAAATAATAATAATAAAATAATCAAGCTAAAAATCCTAAATTTACAAGGTTTATCACAAAATATAAAATAAATATTTAAATCTTAGTCTTGTAGTTTTGGTTGGATTCTACCTATTGATTTTTTTGGGCTAATTAATACAATGAAACTTTTGTTGAAAATAAACTCAAAAGAAAACAAATTAGTATTATCCAAACGATAAATGAAAAGTAAATAATAATAAAAAAATGCAATATTCAACACTTATCAAAACCCCATCGACATTGATTTTAATGGTTCATTTTAAAGGTTTAGTCCACATTCTAGTGGTTGTCATTCTAGCCTTGTTAGTTAGTGGGATTTGTCCGTGGTTTGTTGAGTACAGCACCTAAATTCCAGGCCACATTAATAACATCTCTAGATGATTGGAACTCCTTATCATGCTGTCACCTGTTGCGTCTGCTCCAAATGCACCATAGAAGAGTGAGGATCATTGAGAAGCCTTCTTATTATCAATGACCAGTTTACACATAAGGGTAGAAAATGAAGCCCTGTGACGAATTATAGTATCTTATGAAATTTTTTAGCGTTCAAGTCAAACTAATATGAAATTTTCATCCATGTATGATGTAGATGCTAACGTCTTGGAACTAAAGCATTGTGAACAAGGTGATCTCGTGGTTGACAACTTTCGTAATAAATGTGAAACTGCTGGACATTGGTCAACAGTTTGTTAAAATTTGTCACATAAAAGCTATAAATAGGAAAGAAAAAGACGAAGCCATTGATGGATGAAATAGGGAATACTACACTAGTATAGTTGTTGTAGGTTTTTAATTTGTCAAATCCGCCCAGCAAATTTGACCTTTAGCTGCCGTTTTAAAGTGTTGGGCCCATAGGACTTAACCAGCTGTTTCAATTTTCAAATACGGACAAATCACATTTTAATTGTTGAAGTTGTTCAACTTTTTTTTTTACATTTGTATTTAATTTTTACTTATAATGATATTTAAATTTATTTATTTTTATTATATTAAATATTTTTAAAATAATATTAATAAAACTAATGTGATACTTCGACATTTGTACTATATCATCACTTAAATGCAAGGATAAGGGTGAGCATTTGATTGAGTCTAGTCAAGTCGAGTCGAGTAAAAACAATTGAGTTATTCGAGATGTTGAGTCATATTTTATTACTTAACTTAAAAAGTTTTTGAGTCAAGTTTAAGAAATTCGGGTCAAGTTGTTTGAGTTTCTATACAAATTTAATTGTAAGTATTTATAGTATGATAATACAGATTTATTCTAATTTTTCGACTTTCTCTAACCATAATATATATATATATATATATATATATATATATATATATATATATATTATATAATATATTATATATATATATATATATATATATCACATTACAATGTTATTTAATATATAACATACAATCTAACATTACAAAATAGATTTACAATATTATATTTCAAAGAATGTATTTTGAGGATAAAATATTAATGGGAGCATAAAGGAGTCAAAGAATTGATGTGAAGAAAGAATTTGTAAACTATTGTAGTCAAAAGACTAAATTGAGTAAAATGCAAAATCAAAGGACTAAATTAAAAAAGAGAGAGTATATTTTTAGTAAAAAAAATAAGAATTAAAGTTACATAGATATTCTATAGTGATAGGGAAGCCTGTGGTTTAAATTTGGTCAAAAACATACTTAAAATGAAGGATGAATTGAAGAAATATGAAAATCATAAAAAAAATTGAGGGACTAAATTGAAAAAATAAAAAATTTGTTATAAAAAATGAATTTGGCAGTACATATGTATTCTATGATGTTTTAAGAACATATGGTTCTAATTCGGTAAAAGTTGGACTTAAAATAAAGAGGAATTGAAGGAATAGGAAATCAGGGATCAAATCACAAATCTATAAAAAAAACACTCATATAAGTTTTAGGGTTACTCGAAATTTTGAAATTTTAACTCGACTCGAACTCAAAAATTGAATTGTTAATTTAAACTGACTCGAATAACTTGAATAACCCGACTCAAATAATTAAAAAATGAAAAAAATGATTTTTCGAGTCGAGGTGAGCTTTGCTCACCCCTGTACAAGATGGATCGAGAGGGCGGATACAGTTGCCCCTGAAATTCAAAATTATCATGCATTTTAGATTTTATTTAAAATTTATTTTTATCTCTAGAATTTTATCTATTTGTCCCCTCCTATAATTTTAGAGGCTCGTCCACTAATATAAATTTTTTTCGTACACCTCTATTTAAAAATAAAAATATTTTATTAAATTGTAAACGAAATTATAAAAACTGTAAAACATAAAACTTTAGGAATTCGTAAAAATTACAAAAATAAAAGACAGAAAAGTTAAATTTGTTTATGAAAAGGGTAACTACGCATTAGTATTTAAACTATTAGTTTTAGTCTGTTTTAATATCTAATTTTAATTTTTTAAAAATCATACCCAACGTTTAGTTTTTATTTCATTTTAGTACCTGTAGGTGAAAACTTAACGCGTTTAGTACCTAAACTATCAATTTTGGTCCATTTTAGTATCTAAACTTTCAAAAATAATTCAAAACTTAACTTTTAAAATTTGAACAGATACTAAAATGAAATAAAAATAGAATTTTAGGTATGATTTAAAAAAACTGAAAGTTTAGATACTAAAACGGATCAAAATTGATAATTTAGGTACTAAACGAATAATTTATCCTATAAAAAATGCACTTATATGAAATTTTTTTAAGTATCAATATAAACAAAAAAGATTACACACTAACACAAGAAATGTAAATATATAAATAAATATATGTTTATAATTCTTTTAATTATTGATAATTTATACATTTACAAATATAATTATTTAAATTTAAAATCTAAAAAATATATAACATTTCTTTTAAACATTGAGACTGAAAATGAACAAATTCAGAGACTAGAAATGACAAAATACATTTGATTTACACAGCCTAAAATCAAAATAAAAATCGAAGCAAATATTTTTTTAAGGTAAAAAATAAGACCCATTAAAACCTCAACAAAAACATAACCAATTTATCATGTTCATTGTGATTACTTGAAACACAGATTCAGAAACACACTGCAACCTCCTTTAATGTTTTGTTCTTGAAAATCCATGAGGATTTTCACTAAACAAAATCAAGAACCCCGTGCTTAATCAAAAATCCCACTTGCATGCTTCCATTTTTAGTCCACACGAGGATGGAGATATTATTTAGTTTGTGACCAAAGTCTTCCACCACCCAGTCAACCATAGGGCTCTTTTAGTCCACTGTTTATTTTATTTATAGCCTTGTTTATTCTCCATTGCTTGGTGATCAGCTTAGAGGATACTTTTTAGCAATGGCATTTTCAGATGGAACAACAGGTGAAAGGGCACAATACAATGGCCGGATTACCCTTCTTGTTGTTATCTCATGTATTGTGGCTGCCTCGGGTGGACTCATCTTCGGCTACGATCTTGGAGTATCAGGTCAGTCAGATTTATCCATCCATCTGTTAGGGCTGTGGGTTTTAAATTTCCGCCATTAACACTATTTATCGAACTCTGGTTTTGAAGGGGGAGTGATCTCCATGGACCCTTTTCTCAAAAAATTCTTCCCAAATGTGTATCGAAGGATGAAAGAGGATACCAAGATTAGCAATTACTGCAAATTTGATAGTCAACTGTTGACCTTGTTTACATCTTCACTCTACCTATCTGGCCTTATTTCTTCTTTCTTTGCATCTACTATGACTCGAACTTTTGGACGAAAGGCGTCGATGCTTGTTGCAGGGGCTGCTGTCCTTATTGGTTCAGCCCTTGGTGGTGCCGCTTCAAACCTCTACATGCTTGTATTTGGTCGTATTTTTCTTGGTATTGGGCTTGGATTTGGAAACCAGGTACTTATAATAAACATTGTTTTGTCACTTCTTCATATTGTGCAAGTTTGGTGGTTAATTTACTTGCTGAAATTCAAAGAAAACACAGGGTATAAATGAGTTGAATATGTAGCAACAACATATAAGAATTGTCTCTCATTGATTTTGGTGAAAATAGAATGCTATCTTGTCATCAATGGTATATGCTACTCGAAATTTTCATTTTCTCCTAAAGAGTATTCATCAAACACCTATGCCTGAAACATATTTATGCACTTGAGTGGATATCTTTTAAATACACGAGGAAAAACACAAAGAATTGTATATGTTCAATTAGAGGCAAGTTTTCCGGTTACCAAACTCGCAGGATGTCCTCCTTTCTATATTTAGCCGAGTCAACGAGTGGAAGACTGATTAATTGTTAAACCAATCTGACCATAAAAGTTCCACAGACACTAGTTTTAAGCATACCAGATGATCAACTTTTGTCAGTTCAAAAGTGTGACATAATATAGCTCTAAATATATCTACTGGTTATTTATGATCTGATTTTCTTGCTTTGCAGTCAATCCCGGTCTATATTTCTGAAATGGCACTACCTAAACACAGAGGAGCAATGAATTTTATCTTTGATGCTGGAGTTGGCATTGGAGTACTCGTAGCTAATGTCATCAACTTTTTCACGGAAAAGATTGATGGCGGTTGGGGCTGGCGTATCTCCCTATCCATGGCCGCAGTTCCGGCCACAATCCTGACCTTAGGTGCGATTATTCTCCCAGACACACCAAACAGTTTGATTGAAAATAGCAATAACCAGGAAAAGGCCAAACGTGTGCTTCAGCAAATAAGAGGCACAAAAGACGTCCAAAAAGAACTGGACGATATCATCAAAGCAAGTTCAATCTCAAAAGCAGTCAAAGACCCATTCAAGTTAATCATGCAAAGGAAGTATAGGCCTCAACTGGTAATGGCAGCAGCGATACCATTTTTCGCACAAATGACAGGGATTAATGTCATTACATTCTATGCTCCGGTACTATTCAGGACAATTGGTCAACATGAAAGTGCTTCACTCTTGTCTGCAGTTGTGATTCGTTGCTTCAATGTTAGCTGTACATTCATATCTATGTTCGTAGTCGATAAACATGGCCGAAGAGTACTGTTTATGCTTGGGGGAATTCAAATGCTTGCAACACAACTAACAATAGGAGGGTTTATGACAGCTTTATTGGGTGATCATGGTGCATTAAGCAAGGCCAGTGCTTATGTGGTTTTAGTTTTGGTATGTATATACATTTCCGGGTTCGGATTATCTTGGGGTCCTTTGGGATGGTTAATCCCAAGTGAGATATATCCACTGGAGATCCGTTCCGCAGGCCAAAGTGTTACGGTAGCAGTCAGTTTTCTGTTTTGTTTCCTTGTTGGGCAAACTTTTCTAGCTATGCTTTGCCACATGAAGGCAGGGATTTTCTTCTTCTTCGGTGGATGGGTGGCTCTGATGACTACATTTGTGTACTTCTTGTTGCCGGAGACTAAAAATGTACCGATCGAGAAAATGGAACAACTGTGGAAAGAACACTGGTTTTGGAGAAGATTTGTGGGAGACCAGCTTGATGACAATATTTACGAGGTAGACAAATGATAATTAAGGTTTCATTTGGAGCACGTTTTAGTTATTGTTATGAAAAAAAGAGTTATAGAATTAGTCTCTGATTATTTATGATTAGCCATACAGTGCTGCATAGTGAGAGTGGCTCAAATGATTGGATGTGTTTCTCCTTTTCTGCTGAACAGGCATTAACATAAGACCATTAAAATACACATCTTTAGCTTTGATGTGTAATGGAGTTGATTCTATGTTGTAACTTCGAATATGAAACCATTTGTTGTACTTGAACGAATACAAATAAGATTATTTTAAATTCCATCGAAATTTCCATCTCTTTTGTTCAAAATCTTAACTAATTGATAACATACAAACTTTTAAAAAAAAACTATTTGAACCTAAAACTTTTAAGAATATCACTGAAGTTATTTAACAAATTCAATAAAGAGTAAAATCTAATATACTATCGATGAATTATTATAAGTAACCTCATTAATTGTCCAAATAAAAGTCAAATAGAAGAATTGCACCATGTCTGCTGAGATTATCTCAGGAAAAGCAGGTTAATATACGGCGTTACCGGATATATTATAATATATTTAACAAATTCGGTTTAGCGCTACCTGAAATATCGAGTAATATCAATGTTGTAGGTGGAAATCATGAAGAAAATATTAAAAAATTTAGTAACCGGCAAACTTAGCTTGTCTGTTTGTATCGATACAAATGAAAAATGTATCGATCCATAGCAATATAACAAGTAAAAATATGATAAAACCGGTGTCATTATGATAAAACCGGTAAACCGCTACCGGATATATTGAAAGTGTCGATAAATTAATATAAGTATCGTCACTTTTGTAATTTAAAAGAGAAGAAGTTATAGCGCCTATAAAGTGTCGATACTTTATACAAATGTATCGATCCATAGCAATATAACAGGTAATAATATGACAAAACCGATGTCATTATGATAAAACCGGTAAACCGCTACCGGATATATTGAAAGTGTCGATAAATTAATGTAAGTATCGACACTTTTTTAATTTAAAAGAGAAGAAGTTATAGCGCCTAAAAAGTGTCGATACTTTATACTAATGTATCGATCCATAACAATATAACAGGTAATAATATAACAAAACAGGTCTCGAAATGATAAAACTGGTACAAAGATACCAGATATATTGAAAGTGTCTATAAATTAATATAAGTATCGACACTTTTGATATTTAAAAGAGAAGAAGTTATAGCGCCTAAAAAGTGTCTATACTTTATACAAATGTATCAATCCATATCAATATAACAGGTAATAATATGACAAAACAGGTATCGAAATGATAAAACCGGTAAAAAGCTACCAGATATATTGAAAGTGTCGATAAATTAATATAATTATCGACACTTTTTATATTTAAAAGAGAAGAAGTTATAGCGCCTAAAAAGTGTCGATACTTTATACAAATGTATCGATCTATAGCAATATAACAGATAATAATATGACAAAACAGGTCTCGAAATGATAAAACCGGTAAAAAGATACCGGATATATTGAAAGTGTCGATAAATTAATATAAGTATCGACATTTTTTAATTTAAAAGAGAAGAAGTTATAGCGCCTAAAAAGTGTCGATACTTTATACAAATGTATCGATCCATAGCAATATAACAGGTAACAAACAAGTCTCGAAATGATAAAGCCGGTAAAAAGCTACCGGATATATTGAAAGTGTCGATAAATTAATATAATTATCGACACTTTTTATATTTAAAAGAGAAGAAGTTATAGCGCCTAAAAAGTATCGATATTTTATACAAATGTATCGATCCATAACAATATAACAGGTAATAATATGATAAAACAGGTATCGAAATGATAAAACCGGTAAAAAGCTACCGGATATATTAAAAGTATCGATAAATTAATATAAGTATCGACACTTTAGTAATTTAAAAGAGAAGAAATTATAGCGCCTAAAAAGTGTCGATACTTTATGAAAATGTATCGATCCATAACAATATAATAGGTAAAAATAAAAAACGGTATCGAAATGACAAACCGGTAAAGCGCTACCGGTATGTTGAAAGTGTCGGTACTTTAATAAGTACGCGTAAAAAAGTATCGACACTTTAAAAGAAATAAGTAAATATCCTATCGAAAGTATCGATGCTTCACATAAAAGTATCGACACTTGGGTAATTGTATCGATTAAATATAAATAACATATCCGGTGTAAATATAAAGACATAGCTAAATTTCCTCTTAAAATAGATAGAGTTTTTGAAATCGAAGCGTAATTGTTGCTGCATTTCAGAAGGCGTTTCTACGTTGAAGTTTGTTTGTTTGTTGCTGCATTTCAAATCGAAAGGTACGTTGTTGAAACCCTAGTTTTTTATTATTACAGTAATTAAGGTTTTTATGTGTTGTTGTTTGGGGTTTTCGAAGTAAAGAGACATTTGGGATCGATTACATGTAGAAAGTGATCTTCTAGGTAGATGATAAATACCAATACTTTTATTTAATATTATAAGTAGAAAATGATATTATAGGTTGTATAAATGTGTCGATACTTGGAGTATTGAGTGTTCCCATTCGTTTGAAGGAAATAGGGAGGTTTTGGGACCGATTATATTATATAATATAATAGGTAGAAAATAAATATAGATACATGTATATAATATTATAGGTAGAAAATGATATTTTAGGATGTATAAATATACCGGTTAATTAGCAAATAGGTCCACATTATGTATTGACACTCTTTAAATATGTGTCGATATTTTTTTCCAAAATAAAGCATAAACGAGTTGCACGCATAAAGTGTCGATACATTTAAAATTGTATCGATCCCGAAAACATCGAAACCGATATACATAATGTAATAGGTCAATTTATAATGTAACCGGTTTAAATTTACCGATTTTATGAGAAAATAGGTCAATATAAGCGCTACCTATTACATTATATAAGCGCTACCTAATTTGTTATTGTACTTGATAATATTTTCGATTAAATGCCTATTTTATTATATAAACGCTACCTATTACATTATATAAGCGCTACCTAATATGTTATTGTACTTGATAATATTTCTAGTTAAATGATATAATATAACCGATCTAAATTTTAACCGATCACATTATTTTTTAGCCGTTTTTTAGACGTCGAACAGCTGAACTTCCCCTGCAGGGTATATAGAATTCCCATTCAAGCGCCTCTGGTTTCTCATTAATTAACAAAATGGATGACTTGCATTACACCATGTCTGCCGGGTCTACAAAATTCCATTCAAGCTCCTCTGATTTCTCATTAATTAACAAAATAGATGATGACTTACATCATGTCTGCAGAGTCTACACTAGAGTAGTTAATTGAGTTGAATAACTCATGAATAGTTAAAGTTTGATTTAATCAAAATTTAGTATGTATTTATTTCAAGTTAATTTGACTTGAATTTAAATTTGATTCGAAATATTAATCGATCAAATCAAGTAAGGTCTAACTCGACTCGATAATTTTGTGAGCAGCTCGTTAAATTTTTAGGGTAAACTACATGTTTAGTACCTAAAGTATCACTTTTGTTCCCTTTTAGTACTTAAACTTCCAATTTTTTCAAAACAATACCCAAAGTTTAATTTTTGTTTCATTTTAGTACCCCGCCGTTAAAAGTTTAGGAACTAAAATGAAATAAGAAGTTAACAATGGGGTACGAAAATGAAACAAAAAGTAAAGCCGTGTACTAAAATGAAATAAAAAGTAAAAATTACATATGATTTTGAAAAAATTGAAAGTTTAGGTACTAAAACGGAACAAAAGTGATACTTTAGGTACTAAATATATAGTTTACCCAAATTTTTTATAATGTTTTATGAAACTGATTGTGTTATTTTTAAGATTGATTATATATTGTTAACTTTTGTTTTTCAATAATGATTTTTATAATTGTAATATATTTTTTTAATAGAAATGAGCCTAATAGCCGAAATTGGGCGAGATTACAAAAATGAATATAAGGAGGTCCCGTCGCGTCCTGAACCAAAATGTCATGGAGATTCATGGGTTAGCTATCAAAGATCCTTAGAGTACCATCGACACCACTTAAAGTTTGGCCAAAGAATCATCAACCATGTTCGCTTCCTTCCTGTCGAATAAGATTTAAATCATGTCAATTCCTATCAAGTCGAAATACCTCGAACTAAAGCTAGTGGACTATCTGAAGAGTAAGTTATCAGCTCAAATGCATCGCCACCGTCGACTTGCAGAATTAGGTGTCAGATACTGTTAAAACTAGTGGGAAAAACAACAAATATGGAAAAAACTTTGCTTTTATTCAATTCAATAAATTATGTACACATATCTTTATATACATAAATTCAACACTAACAGGCTACCAGGGTTTCAAATCGCAGTCGCGTTTTCGGTCATTTCAGGTTTATCGTGATTGTGGCTGTTGCGGGCGCTATTATGGCCTTCGCGAGCTCTATTGCGGGTGTAGCGGGTAACTCAGACGGCGACGGAACCGCTATTTCGCGGGCGCTATCACGTTTTCGGACCATGATTTGAAACCCTGCAGACTACTAACAAATTGAATAACTAACTAATTAAAAAACTCAACGACCCCTAACCTAACAACAACTCAACACTCCCCCTAAATTTGGTAAGTGAAAAACATCTTTTACTCCGAAATTGGACAACAAATAGTTATGTTGTGCTACTTCTAATGCCTTGGTAAAAAGGTCTGCTTCCTGCTCTATTGTGGATATATGCCCAGCCTGAATCAAGCCTTTCTAAATTTTTCTCTAATAAAATGACAATCCACCTCTATGTATTTTGTTCTTTCATGAAAGACATGATTGGAAACAGTCTGTAATGTTGCCTTACTGTCACTAAAGAGTTTAAATGGTTGTTTACTTTTCACTCCAAGTTCCTCAAGTAATCTATTCAACCACACAATTTCTAAGGCTGTAAAAGCCATGCTCATGTATTCTACTTTTGCAGAGGATCGAGCAACAGTTGGTTTCTTCTTCGATTTCCATGAAAATAAAGATTCTCCTAACTTCACATAGTACACGTTACATATCTCCTGGTCATTGGACACGTTGCCCAATCCGAGTCACAACTAGCTA